GTCTAGGGACAGTCCCAGGGGCAATGGCAAAAGGCATGGAGCAGTTCCTCACAAGTCTCCAGACGTCTGCTGAGTGGAGGAAGATTGGGAAAGTATCACAGTGCCTTCTTTCAATAGGTTAGCCGCAGCCAAACCTCTCCTGCATGGTCTAGTGGAGACATCCGAGGTCACTGGGAGTACCTTGCTAGGTCTTTGGGAGCTGAACGCTCAGTAGGGAGAAGAGATCATCACGTAGGACATAGCAGAACATTTCTGAGACTACTGGACCTCAAGGATGGGACCAAAGAGTCCAGGACAGTCACAGCCTGCAGCACACCTCGCCCACCAGCTCCTCTCCACCTTGCCCTTCCTGGGTGCCCACAGCCTGGAGCTACCTGTGCCCCTGGAGGATATGGAAGCTGGAAACCCTGAGTCTACAGCCCCTGGACTCCCACACCCACAACTCTTCAGAGGTTTACATGACCATGTGAACCGAAGGAAGAATAAGGGCCCAAGGTTAGAACTGAGCCTCTGCCTGTCACAGAGCCTGTAACGGGGCTCCCCGCACAGTTTTGTCTAAGGATGGTATTTAACCTTTGCTCAGCTTTAAACAGCAGAGGTCGGTCCTCACTCTCCAACAGTAGTGTTCTCCTGACCTGAAAAGGAGCTGCCTTCAAAGACTCATGCCCCACAGGAAGCTGTTTTGCGGGTGAGGGGTAGGCTCGTTTCCCATAGCGCTGCCTGGAAGTTGCTACTCTAACAGGAACTTTCTATCCCCCCCCCCCCCCCCCCCCCCCCGTTCCTTCTCTATGTTGTAACCGGATTCTTTCTGCCATAGCACCAATGTTCTATCCTTATCTGGATCCGTGGCTCTCTTGATACACTTGAGCTCCGTGCCTTTGATTGATTGATTTGAACTTTTGAGACAGGGTATCCCTGGCTAGCCTAGTATTTGCCAGATAGTCCAGGCTGGCTTCCACGTTGCTGTGATCCTTCTGCATCTGCCTCTTGGGTGCAGGAAAGCAGGTGCGTACAGCTGGCTCTATCTCCAGGGAGTTGAGTATCCGCATATCTCTAGGAATTAGAAAATGTTCTCCGAATGGTGGAACGAGTGATCAGGGACTCTTCCACTGCTCAGCACTGAAGCAGCAGGCTCCAGCCTAGGCCATCTGTTTATTATCCGTTAGTAGCGTCCCAGGCTTGGGGACACCTGAGGAGTCTTCAATAACCATTTTCCGGGGCCAGCTACATGACTGAGTGGGTAAAAGCGCTTAGCATACAAGCCTGGCAACCCGAGTTCTACCCCTGGAACCCACACAAAGGTGGAAGAGAGCCTGCTCCACAAAGTTGTCCTCTGACCTCACACACACCCCAGGCCATGCACACACACTTATTGTGCATATACACTCATGCACAATTAAAAAAAACAAAACAAACAAACAAAAAAACAAAAAAAAAACCCACTTCCCAACAAGAAGACACCAGCAAGACATGTCATTTATGTGTTTCCAAAATAGGCCTGACAAAATTCACCTACTCCATTTCTGATAGTTTTCAGGTGGTTCGGAGCCCAGCGTTACTGCCCTTGTACTTAGAGGTGAGGAGCTGAGACTCAGATAGAGAGCAGGCGATCACCATCCATCAGTAAACAGAGCTGGGATCCAGCCCCAGAGCTCTGTGCACAGGCCCCTCAACTCTCCTCTAGGGCAGCCCCGAATGGAACTCATCAGATTGGCAATGGTGCAGGTAGGGCACGAGAGGGGAGCCTGACCTTTCTGGCCACACCCTTTCATCTCTGAAAGCTGAAATGATGACCCAACAGTTCGTAGGAAGATCCTGCTATTTAGTCAGAGTCCACAGGGTCTGGAGCTCAGGCAGACACTGCTAGGTATTGCAGAAGAGCGGGTGCAGGCGGTCCCGTTGAAGGACACTTGTCTGCTAAGGACGCAGCTGTGTCTCGGAACCCGTGGGCAGGGAAAGGCACTTCCCCGGGGCGGCTGCGGTAGTTTTCGTTTTTCAGCAAGCCACTATTTCCTGTTTTGTTCTCTATTTATACTTTATGTTTAGTTTTGAGAAAGTGCCGGGGGCTTGGTGTTTGGGGTGTTCTTCGTTCAATCTCTGCAAAGCAAGCTTTCTTTTCAAGGTGATGTGTGTGTGTGTGTGTGTGTGTGTGTGTGTGTGTGTGTGTGTGTGTGTGTGTGCATGCACGTGAGCACACGGGTGTGGGGAGGGGGAGGGGACTACAGAGCAAGGTTCTTTTCAATGCTTTGCTAGGAAGAATCATGAACACTTCCCTGGTAAAACAACATTTAAATAGTACCAGTCATTACCAGTCATAACTCCCCAAATCTCGGGACCTATTCAATAGCCTCCAGAGCATGCACTTATCAAGGATGGTGATAGCTAATATTGATTGTCAACTTGACACACCTGGGCAGAGGGAACCTCATTCCTTATGGTGAAATTGCCTCCACTAGATTGACCTGTGGCGATGTCTGTGGAGCATGTTTTTTGATTACTAATTGATGAAGGAGGGCCTAACCCACTGTGGGTGGTGCCATCCTGCTGCAAGGAAGAAAAATATACAAAACAGGATTTCAGCTGATTATGACAAAGCTAATACCTGGAAGAAACCAAGGGCCTTCCAGAGGTCAAGCTGAGGCTCAAGGAGCCTTGGTGATATTTGGCTTTTGATTATCAGCCCTTTCCTGCTATGAGTTTCTTGTGTGCTATTGTAGCTTTTCCATCATTTATTGGGCACCATTTCCCCTCTACTAAAGGAATATTTAGATAACCTTGTGCACTGACAGCTATGCTCAGCCAGAACCCCAGTTCAAGTCTCCCTGTAATTATCATCATTAGCAGCATCCAGCCAGGACCATCCCCAGATGGAGGAAAGTACCTTATCAGAGATACCTCTGTACTCTCTAAGAACAGACTTAAGTGTCCAGACTACCTGTTTGAGAAGGCCTGGCGGATGTGCCAATTAAGCTTAACTTCCTCCTTTCCCAAATCTTACCTCTAGTTCCAGATCTCCCTTTAACTATCACCAGAGGCATCCAGCTGTACACAGGTTGCCTAGCGACTGAACACACCTTCCCCCACCCTGCAGAAAAAATGGCAGATAGCTTGAACAGATAGGAGCCACAGGAAAAAAGAAGGCAATTTTATTTTCTCCCATTGACCTAGCAACTTACAGATTTTTATCATTTTCTACCAATCACGTTTAAGACTATAGTGGAGCACATGAAGATCCCTCTTCTTAGATATTACCCAAATTTAGCATTTAATTAATTCATTAGTCATTTCCCTTTAGGGTTGCAAATGGTAATTAACAATTACTGCCCCTCTATGTGACTCTTATCACCCCTCCAATTGACCCTGGAAGCCTGACAATCACTGCCTGAGGAAACTCTTACCTGCCTTTAGGACCACCCAAGAATTCAAGCCTGGTGACCTTGCTCGACCAGGGGACTGCTATTGCTTGGGTTTATAACTGGACTCCAGAGAGACTTGGGGGAACAGAGAGATGGAGAACAGAGGGAGATAAGGAAATTTTGACCAGAGAGAATGAGTGGACGAGATGGAAGATGAGGAAGAGTCAGATGGGGAAGTACTACTTGGGTAAGAACAAGATGAAAAGGACCTAGATGAGGCAGAATTAAGACGAGAGAATTAAGATAGAACTTAGAGGGAGCAGTAGATAAATATAGAGAAATCAGGCAAGAAAGGAGCGAGGCATGAGAACAGAACTGAAGCTGTGTGAATAGGATGTTATCCCAGAGGAATTAAAGCAAGTGGACTATAGAGCTCGGTGTGCTGAGATTCTCTTTCCCAAAAACAGTCCTCGCCGTTAGTAGTCCTCTCTCCTGAGCCCCTGGGATGTATAATATTAAGGCTGGTCCCTCTAATATCATACAAGACCATCCCTGGGCAGTTGATCCTGGATTGTATAAGAAAGCAGAATGAGCAAGCCAGTAAATAGCATCCCTCCACAGCCTCTGCCTCAGCTCCTGCCTCCAGGTTTCTGCCTTGAGTTCCTGCCTCAACCTCCCTGAGTGATGAACTATGATATAGAAGGCAAGCCAAATAAACCCTTTCCTTCCTAAGTTGCTTTTTGATCATGGTGGTTATCACAATAGGAAGGCCAGTGAGGGTAAGGACAAAACTCTCTGAGACCACAACCCTCCCAACGCCACATTTCATAGATTTCAGCCACACAATTAATTGTTCATTTTTAAAGTCCAGAGATTTGTAACCACGGTGTCTTCATGAGATGCTCTTTGGAAAACATTGGGGTACCTCAGGCACTTCTCTAGTGCTATAGAATGGGGTGTAGCAATTCAATGTTTGCCTTGGAAGACCCACCGCCTCAGGGCCCGCATGAGCTGCACGTAACCGTCAGCAGTATACAAACACGAAAGGTACTAAGCCGAGAAATGGTACAGCGCCTCTCTAGGGCTCAGGAGAGCCAACATTGGCTGTGAGGCAACAGCAAGTGCACACTTATTTTGAAGCTGATTTTCAGTCTCTATGTTTGGTCATCGGACTGAAAGGACCAAGCAGATGTCATAACAGGCTGCTCAGTCTTCTCTCAGAGATCAGGCCTCAATTTCAGTTTCCTGAGACTTGAGCAAGCAGTTTCTGGGAGGGCCATGAACAAAAGACTGCTCAAAGTTTAGCCAGATGTTTACTTTCTGGGGCCCCTCACCAACTTAGAGTTATGTGCAGTAAGTGCTTGGCCAGCCAGCCCCCATGGTGGCTCATGGACAAAGCCTGGGACTTGTGCTGGACTGCCCCCAAAGTAATAAATTGTAACCACCAACCAGTAAATTCAAAGGTTACATACCCTCACCCAATTAAAAGAGAACAGAGATAAAAAATAAACCAATCCGAGTTGCACCCGAGCAAAACTCCCCCAACCCCCCTGAAGGGCTTGTGGATTTTGCCTTTAAAAAGCTAGCCACACAAAGAAAAAGCAAGTTCCTCCTGGCCTCACGACTATGAGTGAGTGCTTTGGATCGAGCTTCCCTGTCCGAGGCTTGTAAACAAACAGAAATAAACCATGCTAATTGCATTCTGAACCTAAGGTCTGTGGTGGTTATCTTTGGGGTCCCAATCTGGGCATAACAGGACTTCCCCAGTCGACAAGGAACACGGAGCAGTCAGGGAGCTGCCTTTGATGGGTGCTCAGTGGAGGGGCAGAGTGGCGGTAGAGCATTGATCTGAGCTGGCAATCAGATACACCAGGATTTGCCAGTTCTAGGCTGCCAGGATGCTGCTGGGATCCCACGGGACCCTGCATCACAGGCAGGCCCTGGAGGACAGGAATTACAGCTCTTCCCACAACAATAATTTTTTTCTTCTCCTTTTGCAAAGAATGGAGTCAGAAGGAACTGGATTTCCTGATCACTCTGCAGCACTCCCAAAGACAGCTAGCAGGTAAGATCATTTCTTTATTTTCTAAGAAAAGAAGAACGCACCCAGACAGCATCATGATGCTCAGCTCTGTCTGCAGTGTGCGACAGCAGTCTCCGGGCTACACAGCACCAATGTCTTGGGAGTAAAGCAACTGAAACCCTTACATCAGAAGGGGCTCGACGCTCTAGAAAGCTGTGAGGCTGGGAAGAAAGGCAGGTGCTGAGTACTGGGCATGGTCATAAGCCCTGTCTGGACACAAGTAGCCAGCCATTACTCAGTGGTTCACTGTCCTCTGGAACTTTATTAAAGAAAAAACCCAGTTTTTAAACATCAGGAATACAAGGGCCGTCCTTGAGTCTGAAACGAGTGGGCAAAGTGAGGGGGTTGGAGTAAGGCACGCAGAAGAGCGTTCTTCCAATAGGGTCCGCCCTCTTACAGGAGGGAGAGCAAAATACACTGAATTGACTTCTGATCCCCAAGGCTCCCAAAGGCTTCTGGGATATCCTGATCAGGGCAGTTGTCCTCACCCCCACTAGGGACACAGGATGGGAGGGTCACTGCCTCTCTGGCCAGTGTTCCCACACCCTCACACAACCTACTGTCCCCCAACACCACCCTGGCAGGTGTTATAAGACCAAGCAAGGTCAAGGGCAAATTCTTAGCCCTCGGAGGGGAAGTGCTAGCCAGAAGTTCTCTTTGCCTGCTTATCCTTTTAACCATTCACCATATTTTCCAACCGTCTAGGTGTGCAGAGCACTGAGGAGCCAAAGGTGCACACAGACACCCTCAGGAGGACCCCTGAGGAAGGCAGAGCACCCCCACGAGTCCAGTGAGTCCTACTGATATATTGGGGTACGCAAACCCAGCACAGCTGACTGCTTCCCCACCCCCCCACCTACCCCCACTCCCCCCACCCCCCCCCCACTCACATACAGCTTCTCCCAGATGGTACTGAGCCTGGATCACGCTCACAGGTCACCTGAGGAGAAGCAGGCACTGCACACCCTCGGGGCACACTTGCCAGTAGCAAAAATGGCAGTGTGTCTGTGAACTAGGGCCGCCACAAAGACTGTGGGGCCGCTCCTTCTCTCAGAGTGCCCTGCTGCTGGAAGGCAGGAATCTAGTCCCCCGGCCCTTGACCACGGCTTTCCTTACCCTTCATGGCATGGGCACTGCCCTTAGTGCGCAGTCACACACGGGGCCCGGCCCGCAGCACCAACAAGGCAACAGATAGAGGATGGGTACGTGAACCAGTGGCATGCACAGCTGCTAATATTACTCCACTAAATTCTCACTGTGCGACTTTAAGGCAAGTGTTGTGAGACGCCCCCTATCGTACAGACCTGTCACACCTGTGCAGGTAGAGCCTTGAACTCAGCCTGAAGCAAGTGGAAGAAGACATTGTTGCCACCACCCCACACCCCATATCTGGGCTGGGTGAAGATGTATGTGACCTCTCCAGGTCTGGCTGTGAGCGAGCAGGTCCTTAGCCAATCCAGACTGATTAAAATGAAAGGGGCGGGGGGTGGGGTGGGGGGAGCATGGCAGAATTGTAGGCTTCCACTCTTGGTTGCCAAAGGAAAAGTCAACAAAGGAAAGAACAATGATCCTTTTGTCCAGCATGCTCCCAGGGTGGCAAGCAGGGCTCAGGAGGAGTGCTGGGTGTTCTTTCTCAAAGGTCTCCAGAGTCTGTGAAGACCAGCTGAGCCAGCTCTTAATTAGCATTCAGTTTACCTTCTGAAAATCCTTACCTATATGAATATTTGGGGGACACTCGGGCATTTGTGTGGCACTCTGAGGCTGTGTGGGACATCAGGACAAACATCAGTGCACACAGAAAGGCACACCCACGGGGTCATTTAGGACAAGACTCAGTGTAGGAGCTGGGATGGACAGCTTCGCAGAGCGAGTGTGACAGAGACAGAAATCTAGCAGCCACCAGAAGGCACCGGAACTGCTAAGGGACGATTCTATTTCTATCCAGTAAAGAACAGGAACGGATCTCAAACAAGAAACTCCAGGACACGGGATGAGACGGGAACCAAGAGATGGGGACCAGACATGAGGGGACAAGTGTGGGGACAGAGATGAAGCCTAGGTACTGGGACAGTCTGAAGGGTCATAGGTCCAGGTGGAGACACCAATCCCAGATCAAGGTGCTGTGAACTCAGATCTCACCAGCCTTAGACAAAACCAAGTCTGGGGTGCAGCAAGAAGTCTATGAATAGATTTCGGGAATTTTCTGAGGAATCAGGAGAAGCTAGAAGATCAGAAAGACGTACATTTTATCCCAACTTCTAAAGCAAGTTGGACCCTGAGTGTGATTATTAGTTATTAAATTATTAATCATTTCAGAACTAACAGGTCCATGAGTACTAGAAGATGACACCTGTTTATAATGTGCCGTTGACTCCAGAAGGACTAATTCTCTTCAAATTGAAGGTTTATCCTAATGAGATTCACTTAAGAGAAAGGCAGGGTAATTAGGTGGAGGCCGGAAGAATGACCTAACCCAGGTGCTTGGCTTTCGCACAGTAACTTCCCAAGATCATTTCTGAAACAGACAATACGTCGCATGGGAGCAGGAGGGTAGTGCAGTCAGGCAGAGCTCGTGACTAGTGAGGCACTGCCAAGGTGGGTGACAGCACACATCGGCAGCCTTGCCTCTAGGGCAAGTGTCTGCTCTCCAGTCAGCCATCATCTTCCCGGGAACACGGATGAAGGCTTGGACGGCAGACATGCCAAGTAACCAGCCCGGGAGAGGCAGTCCGTGCTGCCGACTGCAGAGCTGGGATGCAGGATGCTGGACACATGTAGACAAAAGCAATCGAAGGAAACTGAACGGATGCCCTGTTGTTCATAGGTGTTCAGGAGAGACGTGATAGGAAAGGTTTCCAGTGTGAAGATTTAGTGGTGCTGGAGAGATGGCTCGGTGGTTGGTTTGGGTCACTTGCTGTTTTTCTGGAGGACCCAGGTTCAATCCCCAGCACCCCTGCGGTGTTTCACAACCCTCCATAACATCTGTTCCAGAGGATCTGATGCCCACCCTTCTGGCCTCTGCAGATAACGGGCATGCATGTGGTACACACACACAAATGCAGCCAAAACACCCATGCACATAAAATAAAAGTAAATAAATCTTTAAAAAACAGATTTAGACATTTTAGTTAGGACAAACCTGGTTCCGATTATGACCTAGACCATTTGATGAAGGAGCCCCTGGGACGGAGACTGCCCAGAGGCCAGCTCAAAAGACACAATAACACCATTGTCTGCAGAACAGCTGGAGTGAGTCTACACCTGCATCTGTCCGGGCAGAACAGCTGCAGTCTACACCTGCATCTGTCCGGGCACAGAATTAAAAATAAATATTGACTCAAAGCAGGAAGGAAAGGCGAGGCATATGGATGGAGCTTCCCTTCATGGGAAAGTCAGAAATAAGAACATGGAACTGGGAAAAAAGTGTTCTGTGTGGCAGCACACTGTGGATCCATGACACGAACAGTGTGTCGCAACAGCCCATGAGCTGGCCCCATCACACTGCATCAAGAATTCAGATTAGAGAGAGAGAGGGAAGCAAAGTAGAAGCAATCCAGCCTGCTTATCTGAAGGACAAGGAGAGAGACAGACAGACAGAGAGAGAGGAAGTTTTAATTTAAAAAGTCATTTAAGCATGCAGTCCAAAAACTAGGTATTTCTTTATGCAAATAAATGTTCATTCTTGAATCAAAACAACAAAGAAAAACTATTTGAGGCAGGTCTCATGTAGCCCAGGCTGGCCTCAAACTTTCAGTATAGCAGAGGATGACCTTGAACTTCTGATCCTCCTGCCTCCACAGCCCGAGTGCTGGGTTATATGTACCTCCATGCTTGATTTCTATGGTCCTGGGAACAGAACCCAGAACTTCAGGCATTTGAGGCCAACACTCTCCCAACTGAGCTCCATCTCTGGCCTGACAACTACAATGATACTTTGATTAAAAAAAAAAAAAGAATTTAAAGTCGGACACAGTGACACTGACTTAAAACACTCCAGCGGCTGAGGCAGGACGATCACGAATTCAAGGCTAGCCTAAGCTACACCGCGAAATCCTTTCAAAACACATTTAAAAATAAAAGTGTTAATTAAAAGGGTGATTATGCCGAATTCTCATGCTCTATGTCTCAGTCTAACTCAAAAGTGGATGAGCAGGAATTAAGGCATCGGTCTGTGTTTGTTTCAACAGCAACCAGAAGTAAATACCAGAAGAGATACCAAGTATTACCACTAGTGGGACCTACACTACAGGACAGAAAGTTCCTGTGTCTGCATGAAAGAAGTGCTTGGAACCGTACAGGAACAAAAAAAACCAAAACAACAACAACAAAAAAGCTATGCCACTGACAAGCCAGCCCAGCCCAGGCGGGCTCCTCCTCACTGTTGAGAAGAAGGCTATGTCTCTCAACAAGCTTTCTTCTGACAAGTCCATTCTGTCACTTCTTCGTAGGAGAGAAATGAAACCTGGAGGCAAATCCCTAACTCCAAGAAGCTCAATGTGGTCAGGATACTAAAACCTATTAATAGGAGAAGGGCACTGTAGAAAAAGAAAGCTACAGGGGTCCCCACCCCGGCCATCAATCTCCTTTACGAAGGCTCTGTTGTCAGTCTCTTGTTACATTTCATAATAGGTTTTCAAAACGGATCTTGGTTGTGAGACCCAAGGGGCAGACACAGTGCGTGCTCACGGCAGAGTGGCTCACAGAGAAGGGCCTGCAGACGCTGATTGAATTCGTTTGATTGGATTGAACTGAACAGATTTAAATGGAGATTCTCAGGATGAGGCATTTAATAAACCTTAGTCTAATCGAACTAGACTGGCAAAATAAAGCATCGTAAATCCATATCCTGGAACACTGTGACTTCCTGAGACAGTCATCTCCCCGTCCCAAAGCAGCCCAGAGGGACCCATTCAGGCTTCCCTGGTTGCTGACAGGGCAGTGTCTCCAGGATTTACAAATCCACTAGGAAATGACAATGAAAGTAACCAATGGCTCCGTGCAGTTACCTCATTTGCACGCTGTTAAAACTGCGTAAAAGGATTTATGTTTAGAGAGGCATAGATATATATGGTACACCTAAAATATACATCTAATTTTAGAGTAGCTTATTAATGTATTGACTCACGTCTAGCTGAGCACACCAGACGGACGCATGAATTCTTAAGTACTCTCCGATAGCCCGATTGATTAGTGCACTGGTTTCCTAACATAGTCCCAGTTAATCACCCCCACTTGATAGCTTGAAACAGCCGAAATGGGTTCTCTCACCAGAGTCTGAGGTCAAGATGGCAGCTGGGCTGGGTCAGTCTTGGAACCTGGCAGGGTGGAGTCCACTCTCTGCCTCTTTCCTGGCCTCTCGGGGTTGCCAGCAGTCCTTGGCAATATTTGACCAGTACCCACATCAGTCCAGTTTCTCCCTCCATTGCCCAAGTCTTCTCTCCCTCTGTCTCCACACGGCCACCAATTCTTAGCTAATTGCGTTTTCAAGAACTGTATTTCCAATTAGTTAGGAGTGTGAGGGTCCGTGCGGGTATGAATTTTAAGGGGGCACTGCTTAACCATATGCAAATAGGTCTCATGTAACTGAGCCTGGCCTTGAACTCTTGACCCTCCTGGTTCCACTTCCCCAGCACTTGGATTACAAAGGTATGTCCACCACAGTCGATGCCAGTCCAACACAAAGCTCTATCGAGTGATGCTACCATGTGACATCATCTAACTTATCACTAATTTGGGAAGATAGTTTTCCCCCTTTTCAAGATTTTTTTCAAACACAGATATTAGTATTATTTAGATGCAATTTTCATGCAGTCAAGTTCACAGGTCTTAAAGTCACATTTGAGTTTCAGCAAAAGCATACACCAATGCAGCCCATACCCCACTCAAAATATTGACTGTTGAGCTGAGTACCCTAGTGGTATAGCTCTTCCAGTATAGCCCAGTGGTAGAGCACTTTCCTGGCACACACCAGGATCTTGGGTTCGATTTTCAATACCTCAAAACATTAAATAAATAACTATTTTGTCTCCTTGGAAAGATTTACTGTGCCTTTTCCCAGTGATCCCTACTGGACTGTTCTCGACCTTCATATATATATATATATATATATATTTCACACTTTTGCATCTGGCTTTATTAGCTGATGTAGCAGGCATTTCAACACCACAGGCCTTTGCTCTGAGTAGCAGCCCACTGCAGGACTGTAGTACAACCTGTCCACCATTCACCTGGGTATTTATTGGGGCTGTTTCCAATTTCAAGTTGCTTTTAAGACTCTGCCAGCAACACGCCTGTGTGGATCTTTGTAGATGTCTGCTTTTTCCTTCTTGGGTCGATGATAGGAGTGTAACTACTGGACCATAGCTTAGGCTTCCATTGAACTTGGTAAGGAACAGCCTTGTTCCTTCCCACCAACATCAGGGTGAGCGGGTGAGCGGGTGAGCGGGGCGATCTCTCCACTGCCTCCCCTGGGGGAGCTGCCCTGCTCCTGGGGTAACCATTCCAGTCTGCCTTCTTGTATGGAGAGGTTGGGTATCTATTTATGTATATATTGGCCTTCCATATATCTTCTGTTTAAAGTGCCTTTTCTAGATTTTTGCACACATTTTTATTGCTTGCTTTTTTTATTGTTAAGTTATAAGAATTCTTTAAATATTCTTAGACCATGTCTTTTGTTTAAATATATATACTGTAAATCTTCACTACCCTCTTTGGCTCACATATTTGCTTTCTAAATAGTATGTTTTCTATCTTAATTTTTGTTTATGTGCCTTTTTACCACCCCACCCCACCCCCCACCCCCCCGCCAGCAGCACATATGACAGGCACCACCAAGGCCTAGACGAGCAGCACGGACTGCAGACACAAACATGGCCTCAGACACATGGCACAGACAATGGAGGTCTTGCGAGGAGGCTTGATCCAGAAAATGAAAATATCTTGGATATCTTGCTGCTGCACAGAGCCACGGTGATCATGTGGCTGAGCAGTGAGTTCGGGGGCGGAGCCTGCAGGAGCTCCAAGCTGCCACAAACTACCCTGCAGGCCCTACTGGCAACTAGATGCTCCCATACCTGTAGCCAATGCCACGGATCTAGTTCTGCCTCTTGCCCTGCCATCTTTCCCATCTTTCAATCACACGTTCATTTACTAAAATGCCATTGCAAACTGCTGCGTGTTACACAGTGTGTTTTTTGCCCAGACAGCTTTGCATGCGAATACTTATTGCAACGAGTCATTGAGCTGGTTCACAGTTTCTGGTAAATACTGGTCTATCACTGAGAGTCAGCTTGGATATCCTGCTGTTGCCCAGCATCAGGGTGATCATGTGGCCAGGCCACGTGTCCAGGGGCAGGATCCTCGCCAGCTCCAGGCCACTGCACACCTCCTTGCCCACCGCAGCCACAGCTAACTGCTGCCGCCACCACATCTCTATTTCTGCTTCTCTCAGCCGAAGAACTTAGCCATCTTTTTTTCCAACTTCATGAGACCACTTTCTAAAACCAGTTTCCCATGAGACCTGCCTTTTTTGCTGTTGTTGTTCCAGAGATAGTTGGTGCTTTGCAAACTCATGCACCACGGTCTCCCCTCAAAGGCGCGGTGGGTCTCTCAGGCTCCTCAGAGGAGCTCCTCAGCCCCTCAGATGCCAGCAGCTGCCACTGTCTCGAACTGACCCCTGCTTTAGGTTTTTCTATATGCACAATCATGTCATCTGTGAATTTAAAACTGCACTTCTTTTTCTTTCTATTTAATTTTTAAATATTTATTTTTATTCCATGTGTTTTGCTTTTGTGTATTTATGTGCACTGCGTGCATGCCTGATTCTCGTGGAGACCAGAAGAGGGTGTCAGATCCCCTGGACCCCACGTTGCAGAGGGTTATGAATCATCATGGGGGTGCTGGGAATTGAACCAGATTCTATGCAAGAAAAGTAGACATTTAACTGCTGGGCCATCTTTCTAGCCTCCGAGATAGCATTTCTTTTTTGAAAGTGTATTTCTGGGGCTGGGGAGATGGCTCAGTAAATATAATGTTTGCCACGCAAGCAGAGGACTTGAGTTTTAGTCCCCAGAACCCATATTTGAAAAGCTAGAATGGGGGATAGAAGCCGGGCAGTGGTGGCACATGCCTTTAATCCCAGCTCTTGGGAGGCAGAGCCAGACGGATCTCTGTGAGTTCAAGGCCAGCCTGGTCTACAGAGTGAAATCCAGGACAGGTACCAAAACAACAGAGAAAAACCCTGTCTCGAAAACAAACAAACAAACAAACAAAACAAGCAAACAAACAAAGAATCGGGAGATAGAAAGCTAGCTCAGGAGTTAAAGAGCTCTTGCATAGGTGCCCAATTCCCCAGCATCCTCCTGGGGGCTCACAGCCAATCCTAACTCTAGTTGCAGGGGATTTGATGCCTCTGTTGACTTCTGGTAGCACTGAGCACACATGTAGTACACGTACATGTATGCAGGCAAAACTCTCATACATATAAAAATAAAATAAATAAGCCTTGAATAAAAAAAAAAAAAGGCTGGGTACAGCAAAGCATAGCTGTAACCCCAGCTCAGGAGTCAGAGACAGGGGGATCCCTGGGGCTGGCTGTCCAGCTAGTCCTGCTGAATCACTGAGCTCTGGGGTCAGTGAGAGACCCTGCTCCAAAATTAATGTGGACGGTAATAGAGGAGTGTCTGGCCCCCACAGGCACATGTGCATGTGTGCACACATACTTACACACCCCCAACATACACACACCTGCCCATGACAAAATTGCATTTCTTTCCAATCTTTTGCCTGTTTTATTTAACTTCCCCCGATACCTTTCCTGTCTTGTTAGAGTGACCGGAAACTCCAGAACAATGCTGAAGTAAGTGAGAGAAGACATCTCTGCTTACACTGCTCCTGGGAAGAATATTTTTCAGTATTTTTATCTCTAAGAAAGATGCTATTTGTAGAGATGGATAAGTTTTTTGCACACTGAAGGCCTCTCCGCTGATGCAGCAAACTGAATCAGGCCGAATCAGGAAAAGCCCAGGTTTAATGGGTAAAGCATTCCTGGGTGATTCCCCAGCCCTGCAGAGAGGAGACAGGGGGGAGACCAGAAGAACCACATGTCTGTTTTCTGGAATGCCGCTTATATACCCTGTGGGAGTGGTCTTGAGCCTCTCTGGGGGAGGAGCTGTGTTTGGTGGGCTTTGAAGGGGTGGGTTTGGGGAAAGAGATGGGAGGGGAGTTGAGGTGGATCTTCCATCAGACTCCTTCCAAACATTCCAGACTCTTTAGGTATAGGGATGCCAGGGTGTCAGGGTTGAGGTGGAGCTCCCACCCAAACAGAGATGTATAAGATGCCTTTTATCAGATTAATAAATTTTCTAGTCTATGCTGAGATGAAACCCAAGGCTTGTGCATGCTGGGTAAATGCTCTACCACTGAGCTGTGTGCCCAGTCCTTGGCTCTCTGAGACAGTCCTTGAACTTGCCACTCCTCTGCTGTAACAGGACCCCAGACCTTAGCACAACTGACGCCGTGTTAGAGGCACCGTTCTGACCTTAAAACCCAGCACATACGCCCCAATACTTTCCAGAAACAGGAACCAAGACCTAATCCATCAAAGACTTGGTCTGTGAGTCCAGGATCCAGGAAAGCCCCTAACTGTACCAACTGCTTGGTTCTGTAGCTCGGCCTCTTGCTCACTCTTCCTGCTAAGTGAATTGTGCCAACTAGGATGTGGTCTTTGTACACAAAAGACAAAGAACTGTGAGGATCCGGGCCAAATGATTTGGACAAGTTTCCAGTTCAGCCACCGGCCAGTGATAAAGACTTCCTTTTCTGCTTCTGTGTTTTCTCTGTTGGACTCATCTCATAACACTGCCTCCTCTCTGGTTATGGCCTTCCCTGTTATCTTTTGGAAGTACACTGGAGGAAGCCCCTCCCCATTCCTTGACTGACACTTTGTGTTGCTTGATCAGTTTTTGGGGGTATAATTTTTCCATCTATTCCAAGAACGTTGGCTTTATTGATACATGTCTGTGGCTGGGATTTTACTCCACAGACTTTTGCTCTTAACTAGACGGATCGCTCTCTTCCGACTAGTGTGAGCTTCATCTGATCCTGTCTTTCTAGTTTTGTAACACGGAAACCTAAATGACTATTTTAGGTCTTACTTTTTTCTTTTTCCTTCCTTCCTTCCTTCCTTCCTTCCTTCCTTCCTTCCTTCCTTCCTTCCTTCCTTCCTTCCTTCCTTCCTTCCTTCCTTCCTGTTTCTTGTTTTTTGTTTGTTTTTGTTTTTGAAGACGGACTCTCATGTAGTCCAGGCTGGTCTAAAACGTGTAGGTGAAGCTGGTCTTAAACTCCAGATCCTCCTGTTTCCACCTCCCAGATGCTGGGTCTAAGGGATGTGCTACCACCCACAGTATCTTACTTTCTACTGTGAGTGTTTACAAGCAGACGCTCATCTACAAGTGCTGTGCTGAACACACAAAATGGTAGTTTGCTGGAGGTTTCTTTATTTTCCATCAACTCTGAATACTTTCTAATTTTCCTGGTGACTTCTTCTTTAACCTTAAGGTGATCATATAGCATTTTAAAGTTCACATAGCTGGAGTTTTCCTGACCTGCTTGTTACTGACTTTTACACATTATCTAGGATTCTGGCCTTTGGAACGCACTGGGATTCATTGACATTTATTGGGACTTGTTTTGTCACCGGTTTGGGTTGATCTTGGTGAATATTCCATGTATTTAAAAAGAATATACTGGACATGGGAGACAAGCCTGTAAGTCCATCTCTCAGGAGGCTGAGGCAGGGGAATCATGAGTTTGAGTCTGGATGCACGGTGAGGATTTGTCTAAAATAACAATGAATGAATGAGTCAGATAAATAAATAACAGGATGTCTGCTCTGTGGTCCACAGGGCTGCTGGGACGTCCATCTCCTTACGCGTTATTTCAAATCAGAACCAGCCCCTACGGAAAGCACAATGTCAAAACCTGCAACTAAAATTGCAAATTTGCTTTTTGCCCCTTTGGTTCTGTCGGCTTTTGATG